TTTTTTTGTTTTAGTATTTTGAAGTTGACCAATTGTTACTATAAGCAATTAATGATTATAGATGATCTGCACCGTACCATATAAGTAGAATATTGGATGAAGAGATTGCTAGATTTAAATGCTTTAAAAGTTATACAATTAATGACAGTTCATTAGATTTTGACTTTCTTGGTTAACAAAGGCGAATAAAAATTCTATATTAATTCATTGGAGATTACTATCCATTAATTATTACTAACAATTTGATTGATTAATTCTAGTAATTAAAAGAAAGAATTGTTGTGACTAATTTAATCTCCACTATAATTATTCATTATAATTATTTATATTTTTATTTTATTTTTCTAAATTTTAATAATATTTCTTATAATAAACTTTTTGCAGTTTTCTGATTCTTGTTAAATGGTGATATTTCAAGGTAGTTTTTTGGTTAATGCTGATTACAGCTAACTTTTGGGCTATTTTTGTCAGTTAATTGCAAGCAACTCACAATAATTTGATGCTTATCAATTAATTAATTTACAAATTTACTTTGGTCATCACTTACTGCTTCTTTCTTGTATGTGAATCTGTAAGCATATTTGATTAAAGCTCCAAATGAGCTGAGCCAAGTTTATGCTTAGCTTGAGCTTGACTCGACTTGAATCAAGGTTGGGTGATGAAAATATTTTTTCAAAGGTACACCTGACTAAATGTGACAATGTGGTAAAATATGACAAAAATGATGAAAATGACAAAGGGCAAAAGTCAAAAGTCAAAATCAATTGAATTTTTTCTTTGGTCAATTTGGTCAATTAGAACCATGCTTTCATAAAAGTTTGATAAAAGAGCTTGAGCATATTGTTTTTGTTTATTTCATTATTTTGTTGATTGTTAATTTCATCCAAATAAAAACAAGCAATAGAATAATGACATCCAGGGCTAAATGAGCCTTGAATTTTTATGATTCCAGGTTTTTGGACAAGATTTGCAAGATGCTGAGTAATGTTCTTTTACTTTTTTCATGCATCAGTCACAGGACATCTTGGAGCCAATTCTGAAATGACTTTTCCTAAATTTAATGTTTATAAATTCATATTATATGATGAAAATTGAGAAGGAATTGGTGAATTAGAATTTGACATCATGAAAATTTTTTTTAATTACACCTTTAAAATCCATACAATAATTGTATATTTTATTGTCGTTTTTGTCAAATTCCTCAAAGTGTACTTTCATCATGTGATGAAAAGGAAACATTCTTGATTTAAATATGCGAGTTTGAAACTCGAGCCCTCGAGTCAACTCGAAATTTATTATTTTTTTTTTTATAAAATTATGAACATTTCTAATAAAATTTTTTTTTAGATTCGTTATACCAAAATTACCAATCACATTTATCCCTTCGATATTCTCGCAGGAAAATTTGCCTGCGAACTTTTCGAAATCACATTACCTCAAGTAAAAATACTTTAATTTTAGTTTGTGCACCAGAATTTTTTGATTTTCTTATTTCTTGCCTTTTTGGAAATTTTTAAACTTAGTTTTAAATCATCTGACCATAATGACATCATGACAAATCCTTGTGATGGTGAAAAGAAAAAGTAAAAAACCCTTTTGCTGATCATTTTTCTGAAGAATAATTTTTTAAAAAAAAAAAAAATTTTTATAAAAAATGAATGCAGTCTCATTTTCTATAAAAAGGAATTTTTTTTCAAAAAAATGTTCCCTTATTTTTTTTAATCCTAATTAATGAATTTTTCTTTCTGGACATGTCTCTTGCTAATGAAAATTCAATACAATGTGAGGATGATGATGATTTTTTCACCTGTCGGGTTATTCATGAAGAACGGTTAAATGATTTTTTAGTAGAACCTGATTTTTTTTTGGATGATTTAGAACCAGTAAAAAAAAAAAAATTTGACTAGTGAAAAAAATGATAAAAAAGCCAAAGGCAAAGTCAAAAGCAAAGATAAAGATAAAGATAAAAACTATATTTCTTCAGAGGATTTCATACCATTTCAACATAAATACTCTTTACATACAGCAACACCCACATTACCAAAGAGTCTTCATGATATTGAACCTTCACCATATTCAATTTTTCATTTATTTTTTTCAGAAAAACAACTTCAAACAATTGTAAAGAATACAAATTTATATGCATATAAAAAAAATACTGAATCCGACCAAAAAGATTGGAATGATTTAACATTAAATGAATTAAAAATCTGGTTAGCATTGGTAATCTATATGGGAATATTTAAACTTCCTGCTATCAAAGATTACTGGGTAATTGATAGCTATTATCCATCTCATGAAGTTATAAAAATGATGACAATTAAAAGGTTTAATGAGGTAATTAAAATTTAAAAGTTGTTGAACTCAATATGTTGAAAATTAAATATATTAAACTATATATTTTTTTTCATTTAGATTAAGCGATTTTTACATATCTCAGATCATTATGCAGAGCATTCCAATTTTTTTATGAAATTAGAGCCACTTTCAAGTCACATTCGTGAGGTGTCAAAAAAAATATATCTTCCTTCATCCAATGTCTCAATTGATGAGATGATAGCACGATTTTCTGGAAGAAGCCCACATACATTCAGAATTAAAAATAAACCAAATCCTGAAGGATACAAAATTTTATCACTTTGCGATTCTGGATACACATACACCTTTATGTTTGTTTCACGAATTGTAAAAACAATCGTTGAAATTATTCCTAATGTCAATCAAATTGGTGCAGAAGTTTATCATTTGGTAAAGCAATTACCACTAGGAAAAGCTTTCAATATTTTTATGGGCAATTACTTTTCATCAATCAATTTATTTACATATTTAAGGAGTCAAGGATATGGTGCATGTGGTACCGTTAGGACTAATACTGCAAAATTTCCATCCATCTTAAAAGAAAAAGAGTTAAAAAATTTAGAATGGGATCATTTGAAAGGTGTAGTAATAGATAATGTATTATCATTATTATGGATTGATAATGGACCTGTGACTATGCTTACTACAATACATAAAATAGATGGAATGGAAAATAGAATAGAAAGAAATAGAAGAAGACCAAGAGAGACAAGTACTAACGCAAACAAATTAAAAATTGTATTTGGAAATCAAACAAGAAAGGTGTTACCAATTCCTAAAGTAATTGATGACTACAACCACCACATGGGTGGAGTTGATGTGGCTGACCAGCTTTGTAGTTATTATTCCACTCAATTAATAGCATTCAGGACTTGGTATCCACTTTTTTTCTGGCTCTTAGACACAGCTGTTGTAAATTCATTTATTGTTTGTAAAAAGTTAGGAATTTCTCAAGAACATAAAAAGTTTAGAATTCAAATAGTTAAAGAATTGATTAAGGAAGCAACTCAAAACCCATTAAAAAGAAATACTCGTAATGGAGAAAATGGAGAGACATCTGAAAAGAAAAATGACAATAAAAGATTTCGTGTTTCTGACATTTTTGAATTACCAGCAACTAGATTAATTGGTAATGATCATTTTCCCGAATACCGCGAAGAAAGAAACTCCTGCTTGTGGTGCAGGTATGATTTAAAAAAAAAAAATGCACCTAGGCCACAAAACCCTCCACAAAGTCAAATTTGGTGTTCTAAATGCAATGTAGTATTATGTTGCAACAACAAACGTCTAAGTTGTTTTAAAAACTATCATTCTGTACAAGAATAATTTTTGTTTTATTTGTTTTAGTTATTTTTATATAGTTATTTTTATAACTATTATTTTTATATATAAAATAATATAGTTATTTTTTTGTAAATATTTTTATATAAAATAATAGTTATTTTTGTAAATATTTTTATATAAAATAATATTAGTAATTATTTTTGTAAATATTTTTATATAAAATAATAATAGTAATTATTTTTGTAAATATTTTTATATAAAATAATAATAGTAATTATTTTTGTAAATATTATTTTTTTTTGTTCGCAGGCAAATTTGCCTGCGAGAATATCCGTCCACATTTTCACAATTGTTTGTGTAATAGTATACAAAAAAAAAGGGTACTAAACCAGTTTTCTGACCTTAATGAAAGACGTGCTACGTATATATTAAAATATACATATTCTGTATTGGTTTTAATAGGGTAGAACAACAGGAGAGAACGTCCTATATAAGGAATGGATTTTCACAATTGATTACAATTTTTTTATACAGTTTAAAATACTTTTACAAGGGTAT